ACTCCTATCAAAACAACTCCCTTCACTTGAACTCTGATCAGCTCCATTAGCTGCCTTCATTGCATGGTGCTGAAAAGCTCTCTCTTAGGAGCTCTATGTCTAGTTGCTGAATTTGGGGTTCAGTTTACTTTGGTCTTATTATTATAGCAATTCAACTACTGTAGGACGGTAAACAACCAAAGAATGCTGAACTTGGTGGTGTGTGTGTGTGTGTGTGTTTCACTCTTCCTGGCAGACTCCTCTAGCATCTAACAAGCTAATTTAACACTTCACATGAATGAAGTCTGTATTCTTTGTTCTCATATACTGCCAGTTAGTCAATTAACATTTATTAAGCATCTACTATGTGCCAATCACTGTGCTAAGCACTGAGGATACAAAGAAAGATAAAATACCATCCTTGCTCTCAAGAAGCTCACACTATGATGGGGGAGACATCATCAAAACACCTATGTTTGAACAAGCTATAGGTAGGATAAGTTGGAAATCATCAAGAAAGGGAAGGCACCAGGATTAAGGAGGACTAAGAGAAGCTTCCTATAGAAAAGTGGGATTTTAGTGGGGACTTGAAGGAAGTTCTCCCAGGAGGCAGACATGAGGAGGAAATGCATTCTAGACTTCAGGGACAGCCAGAGAAAATGCCTTGAGTCAAGAGATGGAGTATCTGGTTCAAGGAACAGCAGGTAGGCCAGTGTCACTGGACTGAAGAATATTTAATGACATAAATAACATGGATTGACATGGATGCACATGGATCACATAGTAGAGACTGAAAAGGTTGGGGAGGTCAGATTATGAAGGGGCTTTGAAGGCCAAATAAAGGATTTTATATTTTGGTCCTAGAAGTGATAGGAATCCATTGGAATTTATTGAGTAAGGGAAACTGTTATGGTGAGATCTGTGCTTTAGGAAGATGATTTTGACATTTGAATGGGATGAACTGGAGCGGGGAGATATTTGAGGCAGGTAAACCAAACAGCAGGTTATTGCAATAGTCCAGGAGTAATGAAGGCCTGAACCAGATTGGTGGCAGTGGCAGGGGAGTGGAAAGGGCATATGCGGGAGATGTGATGAAGGTAAAATTGATAACCTTGGCAACAGATTGGATATGGGGAGTGAGAGTGAGGTGCTAAGGATGATACCTAGGTTATGAGCCTAGGGGACTGGGAAGATGGTGGGACCTTCAACAACAATAGGGAAATTAAGAAGGGGGAGGATTTGAGAAAGACAATGAGTTCTGCTACCTGCTGTACTTTTGGTGGTAGTCCCTGCTCGATTTCAATCTGGGTCACCTGACTGACTTCTGCCTTTCTGATTAGGTCCCCTTGGATCTTTGAAGTTCATAGTTTTGCATCTTCAGAGCCTTCTTTGGCATCTGAAGACAGTGGTAGGGACCTCAGGGTCCCCGGGCTGTCCCAGTCTGAGCACTGTAAGGATGTAAGGTCACTGATACCTTCTTCTAACTTCCTGGCACTTCCGAGGTTTTCACCCTGGACCTTTCTGATGATGCTGAGGCTTTCTCAGGGAAACCCTCCACTTTAGCCTCGCAGGACACAAGTGCTTCTAACCATCTCTTGTTGTCCTGGTGGTCACTTCATTGGAAAGGTCCTCCTTTCTTATTGCCTATAGGATTCCAGCTGACTTTTTTGTGCAGTGCTGGGATGGAAGAAATTGCTTAATGCAGTTTTTCACTGGTTTTCTCCATCATTCTTCAGTCTGGTGTGAATTTCAGGTTTTTGCTAGAGTAGGTATGTGGGAGTTAGGCAGCCTGTTTCCCATTAAGGGCACCATCTGTCAGCTTCTTTTGACTAAGCTGAACCACAGAGTTCTAGAATCAAAAAGGACCTTAAAAATAATGTTAAAGTTGAAAGCATCAAGTCCCAGAGAGGTTAAATAGTTTGCTTAGGCCACATAGTCAGTTGTTATTGTTGTTTGTCCTTCATTCTTGAAGAGGACCTTGGCATCAGGAAAGAGATGCCATGACTTGCAAGTAAACTGGATTTAAAGGTTGTGGTTTTGAGGACTATGCAAAGTCACCAGCCTCACTCTGTCCTCTGGAGCCATCTGGGTCCAGTGGCAAGATATAGATCAGGATGACTGAAAATGGCCCCAGGTGCAGTGGGAGGCCTTGGCCTTTTTAAGCTCTTTCCCAGGTCTCAATTTGACTGAGGCAATGCCCACTCAGTGATTAAGGCTAGGTAAAAATGAGGCAAAGAATGGCCTCTTTTACCTAGTAAAAAAATAAAATAAAATCAATCTGGGAGGGGAAGACCAGCAGGGTTTCTGGCCAAAACAGAAACAGTTGCTATTTATACTCACTCTGAGCCATTAGGGCCCAAACAATGACCAAGTAGGGCTTGGCCTGGGACCTACTGTTGGCCAAAAAAGAAATCTAGCCTGTAAACCCTAAGGTATCTTGCAAGGTTTCAGTGATCAAAATTTATATTCCTTTAGACAGACAAGGGTATGATTCCCTATGTGAACAAAGGGAGAGGAGGAAAGGAAGGAAGAAAAGAAGGAAGGAGGGAAGGAAGGAAAGAAGGAGCTACATAGCCCAATTGGAACTGACCAGTTGTGTCTCCAGTGGGGCAGCTACAACTACTCACTCAGGTTGTTGTTCTTCCTTTGTTCTCACAGAGGACCGTGACATCAGGAAGGAGATACTATGACTTGCAGGTGAATTGGTAAGTGAGGGAGGGTTGTGCAAAGTCACTCTCTTCTCTGGAACCATCTGGGTCCAATGGCAAGATATAGATCATGATGACTGGAGATGGCCTTGGATGCAGTGGGAGGCCTTGGCCTTTTTAAGCTAAGGTCTTTCCGTAGTTTTAGTTTGCCTGAGGCAATACCCATTTTAAGGCTAGGTAAAAATGAAGCATCACACTATGTTTCTTCCTATCAGATTATATAGAAAGAAAATGGACATATTTGAAATTATTTTGGGGATTTTGGCTCGTGAATCACATGTCCAACATGTAATACCATTCATAGCTCAATGGCTAGTGAATCAAGATTCCTGGGTTCTAATGCTAATGCAATCATCCATAGCCTCGCTATAAGTTTGATGAATGAATGAAAAAGCATTCATCACAGTAAGTGACTACAATGTGCTAAGGCTTATGGATAGAAATATTTCTAGACTGAGTTACTTCCCTTATTGGGAACTCATTCTCCCTTTTATGTAAAATGGAGGATCCTTTCCTTATCTCAGACATCTTTCAGACATCTTGTTCTTTTCTATAGCCCTTTTGTAGAATATCTCTCTTTGAAGAGGTCAGAATTTTTTACAGGCATGAATTTATGTATCCTCACACACCCCCTACACATCCCCATCCAGCTCTGGATTTATGAAAGCAGCTTTAGTTTTTTAGGGTACTGATTGAGTTTTTATAACTTTTCAACCAATAAGCAGCATTCTGTGGCTAGGATATCTAAGTAAAGCATTTCACAGAGAAAAGGGGTGATCATTCCAAGGAGAAAAGGAGAGTATTTGGAATGCAGTCAGCAGGATTTATTAACAGAATAAAAAAAAAACATTCTCTATTCCAGGGGAAATGACCAAATACTTTTACAATTGTGGAGGAAGTCCTTTTAGAAAAAAAACACAGGGCTTCTTTTTATTCATGGACAGCATGTAGTTACAACCATTCACTTTACTGTGTCCTTGCATAGGACTCTGGGGACTTTCTAATATTAGGCCATCAGGTGGTTGGGGGATTTCTATTTCTTTAGTCTAACAAGATGTCATGAAATGATTATGGTTCTTATTTTTACCTACAGTGGCAAAGCTAAAATTTGAACCCAATTCTTCTGAATTCAAATTTAAGTATTACTTAGAAGTTTGGCAAATGTTTTTTGTATAGTTGAGATGCTGGTGCTTTTAGAATATGGGAAAGGGAAGTTGGGAGTATAATCGTACACTTTGACCATGAAGATGCTAAGATGCTATTTCAGTTGCTGCCTCTTAGAAATTTCTCAAGACCAAAATGCTTCTTGAAACTAAAATCCTCTACTAGGGGGCCTTCATTTTTAAGACCCTTCCCAGTGGGAAACAATGTCTCCCCCTCCACATTTGGCCCTATTTTGGGCATAGTTTTCTTGGTTCACTCCCAGAGATTTATTATCCCAAGGAAGGAGGGATAAAACCATGAAAAAAAGCTGTCTTCAGTACTGTAAAGTTTTATTGGTTGTATTATCTTTAAGATGCAACCTCATAGTTTTATTGGTTATATTTTTTTAAAAACATAGTCTCAAAGTTATTGATTATGTTCTGATATGCAACAGCAAAAGTGGACTGAAATGGCAAACATGAAGCATTCTGGTGGCTTCTTTTTAGCCAGGGGTAGTGCCTGCTGTCACTAGACTTTAAAAAAGAGAATCTTTGGGAAATCCATGAAAGCTGGACAATTGCTTTCCAAGTTTGGGGTTAGTGTCTGCCCCTTGGTGGGCAGCCAGGAAAATCTGAAAAGTTCAGAAACAGACTTCTGGGGTTGGAAAGGTGTTTGCCCAACCTCACATGGGCACCAGGAATATTCGATTCAGTTCAATTCAACTCAATAAATATCTATTAGAAGGACTTATGGCTTCAGAACTGATTCTAAGATTTTGGGGATCTTTATTCCTTTCTCAATATTCACTTAAAGGCAAATCTCTGCTTTTCAAAATCAAGCTAATATGGAGGGAAATGCTAATTCCACACGTTGGATTACCATCTCTGAGACTTGTCTAGTGGTTTTGTTATGGTAAACTCCTTCATTTTTTGCTTTTATTGGGCAGATAGTTGGTTCAGTGGATAAAGTAGTAGGCCTACAGTGAGAAGGATCTGGGTTCAAATTCAGCCTCAGATACTTAATAACTATAGGACGCTGAGCAAGTCACTTTCCCTCTGTCTGCCTCAGTTTCCTCGTTTGGAAAATGGGAATAAAATAATAGCACCTACTGTGCCGGTCACGCCATGCACTCTCCTCCTATAAGGAGCAGGCTGCCAGAGTCATACTTACCAGTCTTCAGTGCCCACCCGGATAAACACAGAGACGAGCCCGATCAGGAGGTGCAAACACTCGAGCTTTATTCAGAGGCCATCACAGCAAGGCCAAGCAGGAAGGCCAGAGCAAGAGAGCAGGAGCAAAAGAGAGCGAGCTCCGATCTCTACTGTTCCTTAAGTACCTACTTAGCCCCTCCTCAGCCCGCCTACTAGTCATTGATTGTAGGATCAGATACCGGAAGGGGATGTCTGGGTTTAGCGCTGCACCAAGGGAGAGGACGTGACACAGGAGGCTAGGACCAGATACAGGAAGGAGGCGTCTGGGGTCAGTGCATAGACAAAGGGAGAGTATGTGACACAGGAAGTCAGGCCCAGATACCGGGAGGAGGCGTCTGGGGTCAGTGCTACACAAAGGGAAAGTACGTGACCCAGGAAGTCAGGAAGGAGACGTCTGGGGTTGACGTTGCACCTAGGGAGGGGACTAGACAAAGGGAACTCGTTCTTTGCCATCCCACTCCCACGTGGCACAGCCCCCTGCCTCAGGAGCACGTGCTCCGGCTACTTCCTTGTATTCTGTTCCTTCCCCAGCTTATCACAGCCCCACATAGCACTGCCCACTGCCTCGGGAGCGTGAGCTCTGGTTACTTCCTAATATCTTGTTCCTACCCCATCTTGCCATAACCTGCACTTGGCAGTAGTCAACATCAGACAATCCCTTACAACCTACCACTCAGGATTGATGCAAAGATAAAATGAGATAATATTTGCAAAGCATTTTGTAAACTTTAGAGGGATATCCATGTATGTATGTATGTATCTATCTATATGTTAGCCAATGTTATTATTGCATCCTATTATCGGTGTAAGGAAGTTGTGGCTTTGATTTTCAGTGTCTAGAAACAATAATAAGCTTTAAAAAATCTGACAAAATGCACACTCTCTGTGAAACCTTTTCTATCTAATTTCTGAATGCCTGGTATCATATATTATGGGCATTAAGTTATTATTATTATTTTTTTTTGCAAGGCAATTGGGGTTAAGTGACTTGCCCAGGTCACACAGCTAGTAAGTTTCAAGTGTCTGAGGTCGGATTTGAACTCAGATCCTCCTGACTCCAAGGCCAGAGCTCTATCCACCACCTAGCTGCCCCCATTAAGTTATTATAAATTTATTATAATGACACTATTCTGATAAAATTAGGTTTTCCTTTCTCTTTCTTTTAACATGAAGTAAGAGCCCCCCTCTCAAACTATGAATTTTTTCCTTGTTTTTCCACCAAATATATGTCTCTAAGTAAGTTACTGATCTTCTCTGGGCCTCATTTTCTTTTCTGTAAAATAGGGAGAAGAATATTTGCACTATTTACCTCATAAGTTTGTTGTCAAAATCAAATGATATAATGAAAGCAAATGCTTTGTAAGTGTGAAGCATTATATAAATATGAAGTATTATTCCCAACCACTTTACTCCATTCTTTGGGTCCCCTATACCACATAAAAACATTTGTACTAATGACTGTTTATAATATAAATATTTTAATTATGTAATCTATAATCTGCTTGTGTGTTCAATTTATAGCCAGCTAAAAACCTAGAGGTATTAAGCTAGGTATTTTTTTTTCCTGGGCTCAGTTCCAAGAACTGTACCTTCCTACATAATTACTAAACCAAACCATGGGGAAAAAACCCACGTAATTGTAATATCTTATTTACAAATCTCTTAAGATTTATATGGTATTTGTCAGAGATCCAATATGTAAAATTTCACTGCTGTGAAATTTATGAACTCGTGAATTAATGTGTACGTAAGGTGAAAATGTGTAATTATAGAATTGTTAGATTACAATATATTGCCCCTCTTTCTGTGTCTCAGTCAATACTATCAAGTCATCGTGGCCATATGACAACTAGCCTGTGCTAGTCTGTCCTGCCCCAAATCTAACTGAGAGCCAAGCTAAGAATAATCACTGGAGCTGCTACTATGATATACGGCTGGAAGGGGAGGGTAATCCCAGAATAAAAATTTCCCTTGTAAGCTGCAGACAGATGCTTTTTGCTTTTTCTGCTTTATGAAAAAAGAAACAGTACTCTAAAATAGTACCTCCATAGGATCCTGTCTTGTACAGCACTTACAGATTAAACAAATTTCCTAGAGCCAAGTATGGGTTCCATTTTAAGGTCCCTAGAGAGGAAGGATTAAGACATAATTAAATCAACAGTTGTGGAGACAGAGGTTATATCCCAAGGAAGAGAAGGTAAAAAGGGTTGTGTGGGGACTTAGGGGAAAAAAGCAAACTACACAAGTGCAGGAGAAGCTATAGTTACAGAATTCAAAACCATATAAAAATTAATGCTTGTTCCAAATAAGGAGGCAGTGAGGTAGTATAGTGGGACACAGGGCTTAGCGTCAGAAAGACTTGAGTTCAAATATGGCCTCAGACACTTACTACCTGTGTGACCCTGAGCAAGTCACTGTCTGCCTCAGTTTCTTCATATGTAAAGTGAGGATGATAATAGCACTTACCTTCCAGGGTTGTTGTGAGGATCAAATGTGATAATATTTGTAAAGAATTTAACACAGAGAATAGATGCTTAATAAATGGTTATTTCCTTCCTTCCTACTATGTCGATGCCTCCTGTTATTATTATTCAGAACCTAGAAGTTTTAGTGAATTGCAAGTTAAACATGAGTCAATGGTGTGACATGGTGATCAGAAGAACTAATACTTTCTTTTTTTTTTTTTTTTGGCTAGGCAATGGGGTTAATTGACTTGCGCAAGGTCACACAGCTAAACTAGTATATGTTAAGTGTCTGAGGCAGGATTTGAACTCAGGTCCTCCTGACTCCAAGGCCAGAGCTCTATTCACTGCACCAACTAGCTGCCCCAGAACTAATGCTTTCTTCAGCTGCTTTAATACTCTCTAGACTAAGTTTCCAGGTCTTGACCCTGGCCCACCTAGGTAGAAGGAGCCTCTATTTCTGGTATGACCCTGAGCTGAATGGAGAACATCAGGAAGCGATATGGATAATCTCCACTGGTAAACAGTGTCCAGGGATTTGACTGTTTATCTAACATTTCTCTTCTGTGGTAGAAATGGTGATTAATAAGCAACAATACTTTGTAGTTCAGAAAACCGAGATCACTATTTATATGGAGTTACCAAGCAAGTGCCTAACTGAGTCAGGAATAGAACCCAGCTTATCCAATTATCCTTCCATTAGACCACAAAGCCTCTAAATTTTCAAATTTATGGTCCTTTAACTAACAAAGCAGAAAGCATCCATTAGATCACATCAATGGAGTATTGAGTTACAGAGCCAACATGTAGTGTACACTAGAAAGAGTATTATAGTAGACTGTATCCCAGTGGGTCGCAGCCTCCTTGAGGGAAGGTACTGTTTTGTTTTTGTATTTCCAGTATGTATAATAAGTGTATTACACATAGGATGAGATAGGACTGGATCTGTGATTTCACTGGTGTCGGTAATACTCCATAGCACCTTCTCTTCAATGGATGGCTTCGGAGAGCTGCTTGGGAAGCACTGAGAGGTTAAGTGATTCCTCCAGGGTTATGCAGTCTGTTTGAGTTAGATTCATTTTGGTTTCTGATGCCAACTCCTTATTCATCATGTCTTGCTGTCCCTGCTTTGCACGTAACCTGTGGTTAATAAATGTCTGATGAATTGAACAGAGTTAAATTGTTGGTCCTGGCATCAGGAGATGAGGGTTCAGTTGGTGAGATGCTAGCTTTGTGAAGATAGGTAAATCAACTGACCTTTCTGATCCTCGATTTTCTCATCTACAAAAATGAGCATGTTAGCACAGCGCACTACCTACCTCACAAGTTTTCCACAAGGAAAGCACTTTGCCAACCTCAAAGCATGATAGTAAAATAAGTCATTCCCAGTAAGTACAGACCTATATAATTCTTGAATTGAAAGGGATCTCATAGATCAAAGTTTAAGTGAGTAGTAAAATGATCACATGAGGGGAAGGAGAAGTAAAGAGCAAAATATTCCTAATGAACTGCTAGAACAGCCCTCGGCGGAGTGCACTGCAGTAGAATGCTGAGCCATGACTGGATCAGAGCGGGTGCGGCATGGTAGAAATGGGCTGGGTGTAGAATCATAGGATCTGGGTGGGTTAAAATCTCAGCTCTGCCATGTCACATCAGGCAAGTTACTTTACCTTTCTCTATAGGCCTTAGTTTCCTTAGTTGCAAAATGAGATGGTTGGGTGAGATGACAGCCAAGGTCAGTTCTAAACGTGGTTGTAGCTGGTTTTTTTTTTTGCCTTTTTTTTTTTTTTAAGGCAATTGGGGTTGAGTGACTTGCCCAGGGTCACACAGCTAGTAAGTATCAAGTGTTTGGTCTGAGGCCGCTTTTGAACTCAGGTCCCCCTGACTTCAGGGCCAGTGCTCTATCCACTGCGCCACCTAGCTGCCCCGTAGCTGGTTTTTAATAAGGGTCATTTCTCCTTGGCAGTTGGGCTTTGGAGCAGAAGCCAGTCACCTATGTTAGCCACAAGAGAGGCTTGCTCTTGTCCTTTCTGAATGGTGCTGTCAGGTCTCTGTGCATTTGAGGAAAAGCTGCCTAACTTCTTGGCATTCCAGGTATTAGTAGCAGCCAGAGGCAGGTTGCCAGAGGCAATATCAACTAATGGCCTGAGCTGACACAGCAAATTCTATAAAGATACAAAAGAGAAAGCCATGGATTAGCATGGTATGTAGATTCTATGTCTGGCAAGCTGGCTGGTGGAAGGGACAGCCAGCAAGAGGGGACAAGAACTTGATGCTACCATATGCTCACTGATATTCAAACATTTTGACTATGTTACAAATTGTGTGAATGGAGTAGGGATAGCAATGGGGTGGCTTAACAGAAAAGGAGACAAAGTGAACTAAGGACAGAGGCAGTGTGCAACAAAGGAAAGAACATTGCCTCTGGACTCAGATTACCTGGGTTCAAATCCCACCTCTGATGCTCATTACTCTTATGACCTTGTGCGAGTTATCTAAATATTGGACAGTAGCTTCACAGACAAGTAGGATGGAG